CAGCTATATTGGCAGACCTTCTTGTTGTAGGTTCTGTGACAGACCTCCTTTCCCCCCCCCCCCCCCCAAAGGTGCTTGGAGCAAATTATTTCATGTATATCAATCTTCATGTCATGATCTGCTGGTTCTGTTTATCTTATTTTGATGTGTATATCATTCTTGTGTGTAAAATTAGACATATGGAGTGGGGAATACTTTATGATAATGATGTGAATGACAGTCATCAGGGAGGTGAAGCCTCAGTGTCTGGGCAGTCATATGCAAATAGCCTTTTGTTCTTAAGGCTTAGCAATGGTGGCCAGGTGACTCCCCATACAATAAGGGAACTCTTTTTTTTTAAAAAGAATAGGAAAAGAGGAGTTTTTTTTGGCTGGGCCACACCTAAAGAATGGACTCGAAGACCCCAGGGTTGGGGAGACAGACCTGGTTTGGAGGGGCAACAGGAAAAAAGGTTTTAGGTTTAGTTTGAAAAGTTTGTACGGAGGTTTCAGTGTAGGATTAGCCAAGTGTTTTGTTTTTTTTTTATTTGTAATCTACTTTGCTCTGCCTGTTCTCACTTATTACTACTTAAAACGTGGTTGTACTTTAATAAAATCACTTATTTTCTCCAGTGTAAACAATTACCTGGAGAAATGATCAGTGTGTACATTCCCTCTTTCATTGCTAAAGGAGGCTTACCCTTACCTAACTTTTGGGGGTACCATTTAGGGAGTGGTATCCTAGGAAGCTGGGTCCTAAACTGCACTGTCCTTGAACCTGAAGAGGTTCAGTGTCTGTACTGCTTCTCGGGCGTGGACGGGAATCTTGGCTTTGGCTCTTGGCTAGAGGAGACCAGGGAACTGGCCCAGCATAGTGAGAAGCCCCAGAGAGCAGGTGAGTGGCAGTGGCTGTGGCTGTGTCAGCGCTCTGAAAGGCATCACCAAGGGGTCTTCTGTGACTGCACCCCGTCACAGGTTCAAATCATATTGCCAGAAAAAGTGGCGATTTTCATGCTATAGCTTCTGCTGGTTTGTTGACTGAAATAAGACCTTTTATGCTTATATAGAAGTCTTAAGGGGGAAAATTGCATCCCAAACTGAAGTTACTATACCATCAAACATTTCTAATCTAGAGACCTAGCCTAATTACCTTGCTGCAGAATGGTCACCTCTCTTAGGGTTGCCCTAAAGTCTCTGTTCTAAAGGACTTAAAATCTAGAGGTTCCTACTGAGACACTCAAAACACAATACGGAGAAGGAACTTTCTTGGAAAATACATGGTTTAGTATCCTCTTCAAGAGGGAGCTGTTTACAAAAACATTGATTCAACTGGTGCTGTTTTGTTGATCATTTCTAAACTGCCAAACTTTAGTTTGTGTTTATATTTTATCTGTATAAATGTATTCATAATTTGAGACAGCATTTATCCCTTCTTGATAGTGTTGCTTTCTGCTTCTGAATACTTGTTTCACTTCATAGCTGTTTCAATATTGAATAAAGTTAAAAAATATAAAAGTGCTTTAGGATCTTCCTGGATTAAAGGTAAATATAAATGCAAGTCAAATTGAAGTGTTAATTTTTTATTCAGCAAAAATATTCATCCCAATTCCTTAAGTGCTCTTGACAGTTCTTTTAAAGATAAAATCATAAAGGAAGTCCACAGTATGTAGTACAAACCATGAAGGTACAGAAGTGTGTGTGTGTGGGGGCGGGGGGAGTGCAGGCCCCTTCAGCAGTAACAGCTATCTCCAAATAACGATGATTCATCCAGTGTGCCTGTAAAGTCAACATATCTGGGTTATTTTAGGTAAAGATGGGAAACTAAAGGGTGGACCTCCCTTGTCTGGCACGGTCGGGACCTGACTGGACCTGAACAAGAGAATTTGCCAGAATAGGGGAGGTCTTCTGTCACCGGCCCCCGAATTTATGGCCCACTGCTGGTAGGCAGCCCCAGCAGGCAACCCTGACTCCCCTTCCCCTCCCCCTCCCCCCTCAACTGGGCTATCCTCCTCTCCCCTCTTTCCCCTCCTCGCTGCTAGATGCACAGGCTCTGGCCTTGGCCCCATGTCGCTGGGGCAGCTGAGACCACGGATGTTGGACGACACATGTTGCTGGACCAGAGTGTGCTGGGTTTTTGGAGGGACCCCATTAATGAGGTCTGCATTTAAAAAAAAAAAAAAAAACCCTACTTGGCTAACTAAATTTGGGAGTGGGAGGTGAAGCCATTTAAGCATTATGTAGAGGCTAATCACCCACGAGCATTAATCACAAGCATTAAATATGTTGAGGCTTAAACATAAGGAATAACTCAATTTGATTTTTCTTAGGTTAAAGAAGCAATTTCCCAGCTCTACCCTTAGGGATCTTGAAAGCAGTCCTGTCAACTTCTTGAAGTTTTTCAGTGCACAAGCCAGCACCTTGTATTCGTCAAGTGTTTTAAAATTGGTCTCCATCCATCTCTAATTCAGCCAGCACAAGTAGTGTACCATATGTACATTTGTACCAATGTAGGTCTGTATTAAAAGAATTTGGAGGCAGCTTGATATTAAGAATCATTATAGCCATAATTTATTTAATTCATACACATGGGATGAAAGGTTCTTAAGAATACACCATATCAATGTTTCTTTAATTGAAGTTGGTAGCCTGTCTTTTAGAGAAACATTGACAATCCCCATTAGCAATGGGTCTGTTACATCTCCACTAACCTCCATCTGTCATGGCTGAGGTTGCAGCTCAAAGTGAAGCATTTGTCTTTTGCTAAGATGTTGCTGTGGCTTCCCCAATGGAGACTGTTAGGTCCAAAGCTGTACATTCTTTGTCACTAAATCACAATTTGCTCTTAACAAAAGTACTCCAGTCATTCAAAGTAGAAATAGCTTTAGCTATTTGACCTGAAACCAATCTGTAGATTAAAATATGGCAGATGTTAGTGCAGAGTAAATAAAGCTGTCCTTCCACATAGTCTTGGGTGCATTGCGGTGACTTGACTTAGAACTGTTTTTATTCTGCTGTTGAGGATCTTGCACAAGATGGGACATGCTATTTTCAATTCAATTTTAAGGAAAGGGGACTTTGTACTTCATGTGAGACTCCTCCTTACCACTGGTTGGTGCTCAGCTGAATATGGATAACAGCTGGATGACATACAGTTTTTTGATAGTCCAATTTTTAATCAAATTGGAAATGGTGGAAACATTGACTTGGACTTTGCATTAATCAATACAAAATGGAGACTGAAATTCTTGTTTTCTGATATGTCAGACTTCTGAGAGAAAATTACAAATGAAATCAGGAGCGGAGTGTTTTAAGTGCCCGAATCTCTTCCCACTTTGTTTTTCCCCACCCACTTCCACACAAGGGTTCCCAAAATGTAGCAGTATTGTTCTACCTTCTTATTCACCCTGAGGTGCCAATGGGATGCATATTCATAATATTCAACAGTGGTAGTTTTCAGTTAGTAACTAGCTCACACAGTGGTTGCCTCTGATCCCACCACTCCTGCAAAGAACTCTTTTTCCCTGGATCCATGTGTAGCTTCTCAGAAAAGAGAATTCAAATTTACAGACAATCATGATTGTACAGACATTCTGTTCAGTCTTCATTCTGTTTCCTGGCTTTCAGAAGTTTTGTGTGTTTAACTCTGGTGTTCTGGAAGGGCACAAGATACTACATTATTAGGTAGCATTAACACACACTTACTTGCTCTTCTGTACTCATGTGAATGCTATAGCAACTTTCAAACATATTCCTGACCAGAATTTTTGTGTGTTCTGTTAGTACCCATAATGATAGTGCCCAGACTGGAAGTGTAAGTGAGGAGTAGGCTTATCAGTTGACCACTCTCATTCCCCCTTCTGCCTCTGTATCAGAGACAGCGGAGGTGGGAGGGAAGAAGGAGCCAGTTCTGGGGGGAAACCAGCTTAAAAGCCTGTTTTCCCCAGCATCAGCTCTGCGGTGCTGCCTGTTTTCTCTCTCCCTCCCTCTTCCCGCATGTTGCAGCCTCTATCAGAAGTTGCAGTGCTGGGGAGTGGGCAGGGGAGGCTGCTGTGAAGCAGCCACTGTCCGCAGGTAGGGATGCAAATGGTTATCAGATAGTTGACAAGCTAGTTGACTAGTCACTTCTCTCCTCCTTGCCACTACCAGAGGTATTGGGTGGTGGAAGAAATGGAGGGCACTTCAAAATGGCATTGCTGCGTGGAGCCCAGAAACGCTGTGTGCAGCCCAGCCAGCTGGGTAGTCCCCAGCTGGCCCCGGGCTGCACGCTGCATTTCAAAGTGGCAGTCCCAGGTGGAGCCAGGGTCAGCTGGGGATTCCCCTGCTAACCCTGGACTCCATGCAGCGCTGCTGCTTTAAAATGCTGCAGGGAGCATGGGGCCAGCAGGAAACTACTTGAGTGCCCTCTGGCCCCATGCTCCCTGCACTGCTTTTGCCTTTAAAGAGTGGCAAAAGCCCTGGGGCTGTTGCCACCCTTAAAAGGCAGAGGCACCCTTATTAACTAATCGAATAGTCAATGCAAATAGCATTGACTATTCAATTAACCAATTAATAAAAATTTTACATCCCTCCTTGCGGCAGGCCCAGACAGCCTGGCTCAGTCCCAGCTCATGTTGTGTCTGGGACCTACGATTGCTGTAGCTCTGCAGTTTAAATGTACTAGAGCTGGGTGGGCAGGCAACCCGGCTCTCAGTACATTTAAACTGCAGAGCCGCAACAAAGGTAGGTCCTGGACCTGGCACGAGCTGGGACTTAGCTGGCTTGCCTTCCCTTATTGACTAATTGAGTAGTCAGTTACCTGCATCTTAACATCTCTAACCCAAGCACCCATAAAGGCACTCCAATGAATGTGTAAGAGAAACAATGTACATAGTGTCGAGGAAGCAGAATTAAATAGAATTTCAATTAGTGGTCTGCTGTTTTGTCACTGAAGGACCTGATAAATTATTTTGTATTGGTCTGTTATGAGGAACTATTGTTCTAAAAGTATTTTCATTAGTGTAATCTGAGCCTCATCTTTTCCAGAAATGTTATGAACAAAAACAATACAAAAATGGGCTCAAGTTTTGCAAGATGATCCTTTCCAACCCGAAGTTTGCTGAACATGGAGGTAAGTGCATGGTTGGAAAGACTTATTCCTGTGAGAACCCAAAATTAAAACTGTAAACAGGCAGTTATGATTGATTATTTCTTTATGGTAGAACCACTCATCATCGATGGAATTAACATCTCATTTCAGACCAGGAACTGAGTGCAACACCTGGGTTTCAGTGATATTGTAGTCAGCTGTAATTCCAGATTTACAGGCAGTGATGGGAGGAGGTAATCATGCTGCCTTTCCTGTTCTTAAATACTTTTTTGCAATGGGATAGTGACTTGTTTCAAAAAGTCACTAAAACCTAATTTGTAATAGTCTCTCAAAGAAAACAAAACTTAGCTACATTCTATGTTACAATATCATTTTTTGTATTTAGTGTATTCCTTAATTAAACATTGTATTACTGATACCATGAATTATAACATGAAATGCAGAACCTGAAAGATCACATTTTGGCATGTCATAGTAATTAGAGGTGGAGATGTATTGTTTTATCTGCTCTATCTCTGTCCTAGATCAATAATTCCATACATTAGGAAAATACTGTAATTTTAAGGTGTGCTACATGATTGAGCTTCTACTATTTGTACTGAGAGAGATTACTGGTTTTCCTTCTCGCCACCCAAAAAAATCAACTTTAAATGTTAATTTTCTTAGTGCTAGGCTATTGTTGCTCTGAAACTTACTCAGATAAATATATTTCTTTAAGTACTTTTACTCTTCCGTATTTGCAGCCTACTGACGTATCTGTCCCATTTGTTTTTGCTTAAATATGTACAGTTTTAATTTTCTATTACCTCCGCTCCTTCCACTGATTTTGTTTGCATTTTTATTTTTATTTTTTGTTCTCTGAACTCCCTTAAGTATGAGGGCATCTTCAGTAGAACATCGCGTGTAGGTCTAAATACTGTATTTCTGTCTGTCACATCAAAACTGTACAGAGATCTGTTGCCTTTCCAGCTCAATGGCATGATGTATTTATATTTGAAAGTTCTCTCTCTACGTTTTTTTATTTTCTGTCTATTGGTGCCATGCCACCCCAGGTCTCACTTTTTATGGATTCTTCTCAGGTTTCTTCTTTTCACTGATTGTACAGGTTGGACCTTCCTTGTCTGGCACCTTTGGGACCTGACCAGGCCTGAACGAGGGGATTTGCCGGACCACAGGAGGTCCCTTCTGTCCCGTGCTGAACTGCTGCCCCTTGCTAGGATTCCAATGCAGCAGTGCTGCTGTCTGCAGCTCCCCAGGCTGCAGTTCTCTAGCTGCTGTGGGCACCATAGCTCTGCTGGTGGCCAGGGCCGGACTCTGAGTTCCACAGCTGGAGCCTCCTGGCTGGGTTGGGCTGGAGCTCTGAGGTGGCTGCTGCCTACCCCTGCTACCCTCCTGGCCACAAGGTCGAGCTCTCTGCTGTTCTGCCTACACCTTGGTATTCCCCCACCCACCCATGGGGCTCCATGCTGAGTCACCAGCCCCCATCCAGCTGCGCTCCTGCTTGTCTTCCCTATTCTTGGGCTCTGTGGTCCAGGAACACCCCCATCTTAACACCCCCATCTTGCTGGACCAGGTGTGTTGCCAGACCAGAGAATCCAGCTTAAGGGAGGTACAACTTGTAGTTTTCACCCTATGGTCCTTTGACCACCCCCATTCCCCCATCCCAATCGGCTGCAGACTTATGTCTAAGGGGTCAGTGAAAAGTTGTGACAGGCAATCTTCATTGTTGTACAATCTCCTAGAACTGGAAGGGACCTTGAAAGGTCATCAAGTCCAGTCCCCTGCCTTAACAGAAGGACTAAGTACCATCCCTGACAAATTTTTGCCCCAAATCCCTAAATAGCCTCTGCAAGGATTGAACTCGCAACCCTGGGTTTAGCAGCCTGATGCTTAAACCACTGAGCTATCACTTCCTCCCAATGATTCTTCTTCGAGTGCTTGCATGCATCCATTTCAATTTAGGGATGTTTGCCCTGAGCACAGTCACTAGAAAAATTTTCCTTCATTGGATATTTTGCAAAAAAGTGCATCTGTTTGGGAGAAAGGTCTCTTTGGGGATTTGCAGCTCAGGATCATTAACCCACAAACCATTCCTCAGAAGATCTAACTTTAAAACAGTCCCAATGTGTTAAGATTCATTAACCCCAAGATTCATTAACCCCAAGATGCCAGAAGGGAGCTCTCTAAGGTTGAGGAGGAAGGTACATGTGTAGCAAGGACTTCCCTACAAATGATCCTGGATGTTCTGGATTTGGCTTGTCCTGGTCCATGACCTCTGCAGACGTCATGCATAGGCGTTCTTGGCTCTGATCCTTGGACTTCCCACATGAGGTTCAGGAGACTCTCCAAAACCATCTTGTAGAGGGCACTTACTACTTCTCAAAGCAGGCATACTCCAAGCTCTATGGCCTCAAAGATTCTAGGGCTATTCTGAAGTCCCTGGGCTTATATATCTTGATGAGTTTTGGAAAGCATGATAGGCCCCCGGCAGTACTGGTTCTTCCTTGACCAGTTTGGCAGGACTCTGAGAAGCAGAGGCTTTAGGCATAGTCCTTCACCTCTGTTGTCCTCAAAATCAATGCCTGCCTCTCAGGAGGCCTTAAGTAGACATTTTGATGGGGTGCTCATGGCTGCTGTACCCATCTTAGAAATCTTGGATCCAGCTTACCCTTTGTGGACTGCTTGTCTTACCTCCTCTGGGCATGATAGTCCCATATTATTACAGGCCATCAGGTTCTGAGAGTGGTAAATTCTTATCCTTTCTCTTCAGAGACTCTTCTGATGAGCAACGTCTTGCTTGGGAGGAACATTCTCTCGATGGGTGTGGACCATCATAAAGGTTCCACAGAATCTAAGGCAGTGGTCCCCAACCTTTCGTGGCTGCCGGGCGCTCTGGCGCGGGGCCAGCCCAGATATTTTGGCAGGCGCACATAAATGCCCTGGCAGGCGCCATGGCGCCTGTGGGCACCGCATTGGGGACCACTGATCTAAGGAGTCGGGGTGGTTCTTCTCCCATTATTTCCTAATTCTAAAAGCCATGGGAGGTCAGACCTATCCTTGATCTGTGCCAACTTGTTACCACAAAGCTGAAGTTCTACATCTCTTGGCTTCCATCATTCTCTCGCTGGATTCTGGGGACAGTTATGCCACCCTTGATTTGAGACATTTGTTCTAACATCTTGATTTTTTTCAGGGGCACAGAAGGTTCCTCAGACTTGTCAATTCGTGGTTCTCCCCTTTAGCCTGTTGGCTGCACCACAAATGCTTGCAAACTGCATGGCAAACTCCTTGATGAGAGAGGTGGTGCCATGTGTACCATTACCTTGATGATTGGCTGGTCAGAGTCCAGACCAAGGCTGAAGTAGACTCGTGCATACACCTCATTCAGTCAACCTTTTGGGACTTCAGTGTGCTCCTAAATATGCAGAAATGCACACTGATCGTGGTTTAGAAGACAGAATTGTATCATCAGGACACTCAGCTCTGTCGAAGTCAGAGCTTTTGTCTGAAAACTGCCTTTTGGAGAATCCTGGTGTTCATAGTACACTTCAAGGATCACCTGATGATGATGGCTCAGAGTTGCCTGAGACTCTTGGGTCATATGACTGCATGTACTATAGTAGTTCAGGATACGAGACTACACCTCAGCCTGCTCCACGCATGGTTGGCCTCAGTGTAGTTCCCAAACAGTCACTTTCTGGCCATGGTCCTTACGAATTTTGTCTCCCATAATGGTTACAAGATAAAATGCTACTGGTGCTTAACTTAACGAACTGTGTTAAACTCAAAGGAAAGTTCTCACCACATACTTCCAGCAGTCTTACTGACCAAACTTCTTTAGGTCAAGACCCTTCTTCCATCAGAAGTTGCTTCCTTTATTCTTTCAGATGTAGAGATTTGATGGACAGAGGGGGAGAAGAGAGAGGATGTAGTGCTTGGGGAGGGGGTGTTTGTCCCTACTTCTTATGTCTTCCTCCCAGACAAAATAATTTCCAGATGGGTACCAGAAGACAAAAGAATGTATTTTTTTTGTTTCCTGCTATGGTGTTCTCTGCTGTTTGAGATTCCTTTGTTTCTATTCCAGAAAAGAATACTTACTGCTAAATGCAAATTATCCAGAATGCCGATTCCTTTATATAGGACAGACCTATTTACTAAACTCTGTTTGGCCTATGTTAATATAATCGATCCTCCGAGTTATGAACACCAGAGCAATCAACTCACCAGTCAGCCAAACACCTCATTTGGAACTGGAAATAGTCACGCAGCAGTAGCGCTCGCACATCCCCCAAGTCAAACACAGTACTGTCTAAAATGTAAACTATAAGAAGTAAAAATGTCTTCCTGTTCTTCTTCTGCATAGAGTTGCAAAGCTATATTAAATCTATGTTCAGCTGCAAACTTGAAAGAACAGTCATAATGTTTTGTTCGTTTATGAACATTTCAAAGTTATGAACAACCTCCATTCTTGTGGTGGTCATAAGTTTCTACTATAACACCGTACATTGGGATTTTATAACTTCACATACAGTGTTGCCATATGTTTTATCAGGACAGTATTGCCCAGTAAATGGTTTTCAAGTGATACCTTAGAAAGCGTACTTTGTATAAAGATTATTACAATAGTGTGCAGATTCCGAATACAGAATATATGTTAGTCCTCATAAATGATAGGTGTACATTTTGATTTCTCACATTCACAAATACAAAACCTTTTCTACAGAGACCTTGGCTATGAAAGGACTGACCTTGAACTGTTTAGGGAAGAAAGAAGAAGCATACGAATTTGTTCGTAAAGGACTTCGTAATGACGTAAAGAGTCATGTCTGTATCCTTTCTGATAGTATAACTTGACCTTTTTATACTGATGATCTTTGTTTTGCATAAATAGTTGTTTTGGGTATCAGAGGTCCAGATATTTTTTTTCAACAAGTTTAAAAAATGGCCTCTAGTGTGTACTTTCCCTTTTTACTGGGGGGAGGAGGGGGAAGCCTTATTTTATATTGTGAAAGAAAAGTAGTAGGAAATGTTTCCCCCTGTAAAAGAGAGTTTTCTGTTCAAGATAACTGTATTATGAAAAGGGGAGAGATCTTTATAGATTCAGGACTCTGCAATGCCGTCTTACTCTGTATTTACAAACAAAGAGATTGTTGAATAATTTTTCCCCCCATGTGGATGACTTTTCCCACTTTATTGTAGGCATTTCAATGTTAAATGCTTGCTGCAAACTGTAGACTTGGGGGATTTCTACAGTTGTTGCATTTGAGTCATAGTAAAATGCAGAATTGCCCGGGGAATGAAATTGGAAGTGACCTATAAAATCATCATTGCATTTGTTGAAAGTTCATTTGCTTGTCTGGTACAAGCAATCAGGATTTGGTCAATATTTTCAATGGTACAGCAAAAGTAGCTCAGAGTGTCAAGCAGTGGTGGGTTAGTAATTGATTAGATGAACACAGGCAGCTATGAAATCTTGGGGAGACACCTTTCATGGTGAGAAATCTATAGTAGAGCTTTAAGACTATCCTTCATCTTCTGTTTTAGAGCTTTTCCACACAGTACTGGCAGCTACTCCCCGCCTATTGAAGTGGCTCCCTTTTCCCCCCCAAAGCCCTGTGTACTGGTGGCTCCTCCCTCACTATGGTGCTAAAACCCCAAGGACCCTGCATTTCCCCCCCTCCTTGGTGTATATTGGGCATAGGGAAATATGGTCACTCTATACTGTTACCTCAATCCCACAATTCTTCATACCTACAAAGGATTGTGGAAGATGGTGTTCATGGGATAACTTTTTTGAGCAATTTGTGAGTTGCAGACCAAAATTGAGAATTACTTATCTAGAGGATGCTGTATCAATTAAGATTTGTTCCTTTATTTGCAAGGATTGTGAAGTTAATGACTGAAGTGGACATCATAGATGTAATTGGAATTTTTAAGGTATTTATTAGTATCCTGCCTTGAGTTCAAAGACTTTCATGAGTTAAAAGGAAGGAGAAAAATGGGAAGTCCTCAGACTCAAGATCGCTGAATCTTCAAAGGAAGAAAAAACTGAGATACCTGAAGACTTGGTCAGCTGGGGGGGAGGGGAACACACATAATGAACGTTTTCCTCGTTGAATAAATACAGCTATTACCAGACTAGTTAGGTATTATTTTATATTAAGTTTTTTGGTTTGATGTCTTCTGTTGTTACCCAAATTGTTAACTTTAGTTGATTTGACTTAGCCTGTTACAGGGTAACGTGCTCCTGTTTTCTTGGAGTGAGGGGACTTGTAGCTCTCCTTCAGTAGTACACAGTCCTCAGCATTCTAAATAAGGCTGAAACTACACACTGTTAGTAATAATGAGGGACCAGAAAATCTCAAAGATTGAGAAAATGAACCACATCTAAATAGTATAGAAGAGTCTGAGAGGGAGAAATCTAGCTTTTTGGTCAGGATAATACATAGACAATGTAATTACCTTCAGCAAAATGTGAATGGCTGTCACTTTCCTTAACTTGTATTAGGTTGGCATGTGTACGGACTCTTGCAGCGTTCTGATAAGAAATATGATGAAGCTATTAAATGTTATCGAAATGCTCTCAAATTAGATAAAGACAATCTACAGATCCTAAGAGATCTTTCATTGTTGCAGATCCAAATGAGAGATCTAGAAGGATACAGAGTAAGTATATTCATTTAAATTTGTATGTTTTAAAATGGCTAATTATTTTTTGTATGTGGTAAGCTTAATTTGAGAGTAGCAAGTTATTTGAACTGCTGTCTAGGAAAGATTGTCAACAGTAAACTACCTTAGTAGTGAATCTGATGTAATGAGAGCATATGGAGTATGCCAGGCATGCTACTGTTACTCTGTATTAGCTTATCTACAGAGCGATCTTTGCTTTTCAGTTGCCAAACACACTCCATACTGATGTTCATTCACCAAGGTCACTCGTGCATGTATATTTTTTCTTAATATTATGTTCCTATTTAACACCTTATTTTCAAGTCTTATAACAGCATGAATTACTTACCTCAGCTTGTGGAAACCTACTTTCTGCACCTCGACGTAACACCTGTTTTTAAAGTATTTGAGGATGATTGGGATATGTTTTTTTTAAGATGATCTGTAGCCACTCATTATTTGGATCCGTACTGCTGACAGGAAAGAAATAGGGCTGTTGCCTTATCTGTTCAGAACTTCTTCTTTTCACATAAGTACTAATGCTGCCCATGACTTTCTATGGCTACTCCAAGGTCTTCTGAAACCTTCTCTCCGTGCTAGTCCTAACTGCAGGGTGCATTAGGAAGTACTGTATATTAAATGCAGATGCTAAGTTTCCTCCTCTTCTGCATATAGCATTGAGCACATAAGATACTATTCGGTATTGATCTTTAATACCAGGGTCTCAATTGTGTGATTATAAAATGTGCCAAAGGAAAGAATGTCACTAGCTGATGAGAAGGCCAAAGGAGGAAATGGGGCGATATGAAAATGAAAACACTAATTTTATTTCAGAAAAACTGATAATCTTTGAGTGATATTCCTATAAGTGCCCTACTATAGGTGCAGCAGTTCCCCTGTGCCTGGTATTGTAAGGTCTTAATCAACACTGCCTCTTGGACTGCACAGGTGCACCCTCCCTCCTCTTGTGCTGTAAGAAGGATGTATATGTAATACTGTGTGGAACCAATGGCCCCTACTTTCTTCTCTAAACCCTACTTTTGATCTGGGACAGAATCTGCAGAAAAGCCTGCTTCTCCTTTCTCTTCAGTAGGTAGTGCCTTAACTTTCCATTTTGATGTGCTTTATTACTACTTACATCATTTTTTTAAAACCTTTACTTTTACTCTGGATTTGGTTTTTTGTTCCCCCACTTCCTGCCCTTTGTGACTAGGAAGCTTCCCCCCCCCCCATGTATATGCCCCCATTTTATTTGAGAGGTGTGTCTCTTGCTGAAACACCTTGCCAGTAAAAGCCACACACTGTATTTTCTGTCTGGGAGAGGAACAGATGACACAAGTGTTCTCACTGCCATGGTTTGACTTCTGGGGCCAGAGAAGACCAGGACATTCAGTTGCAACTTCTCCCCTTGGAGAAATCACTGCATCCAGCGTTACACTCAAGCCTGAATTTTGCCCCTGTAAGGCATTCACTCTTGGCCAAGTTGACAGCTAATCACTGCAGTCTCATAAAAGAAAGTAGTCCGTCTCTCACTCTGTTGAGAAGAAACAGGCTTCTTCCTCACATTCTGAGACGCAACTCACCAGAATACCATGTGAGGTCAGTAGCCTCAATATCCTCTGACAAGAGACATAGCTTCAGGGCCTGTCCAAGTACCTTTGATATCGGCATGAAACCTTGGTTTAAGGATCCTAACTGGGCAAACCTACAACCCTCTACACCATCTCTCAGTTCTGAAGACTGAGACAGACTGAGTTCAGGAGTTATGACAGCAAGAAGACTCTCACCTGTCAAGTATTCAGCTTCACTTGCTGACTACACAGGGTAATGAATGTCTCCCTTTGGCACCCAGCCATGGATTAATACTGATGATGCTCCTTTCTCCTCCACAGGAATCCAGACATCCTAAAGACCTGCTGGAATCTTACATGCTTGAGTCACATCTGCTCAGACACAACCTCCTCCCCCACCTCTCTGGACTTCCGACGTTCCCCTCTTACTCCTCCAAGAACAGCATCTTTCTTCCCTAGTGCTGGGGATGAGTTCCATCATGCTCTCAAATGTGAAATCTGTGCAATCTACTTGATCTGCATGTCATCACTATACACAGTCTACACCTGTACACTAACCTGTTATGGGCCACTGGATGGAACAGCTGAGGAAGTGCCTCATGCAGCAAAGCTGGAGACTTACACCTTCAACTTCTTGATCAATATATTGGTGATCAGAGACTGACCCTCCCTCCAAATGAGGGTGAAGAGGAGGAAGTTTAATCAACATTTCTTTTTTTTCCTTCCCTAATAAGGCTATCATGCCACCAACTGCTACTGCTGATGACTTCAAATGCTTCCAGAAATAATTCCACAGGATTGCATACTTTTTCCTGGATTCTCTTTGAGGAAGAAAAAGATCGGCACTATCAATAGCTAGATATCCTGCTGACACCTTCCTCCTCCAAAATTGCCCTATCAGTGAGGCTTTCTTGATCCTGTCAGAGTGCCCTGCAGATCTGTGTATCCATCCTTCTGACTTGCAGATGAGCAGACAAAAAATATTATGGTCATACAAATGATATAGAATATTTTGCCTCCAATTCCAAGTTCCGTAGTGGTTAATACCGTGCAAGAAGGACATTATCAACCACTATCTACCCATCAGACCAGAGATGGGAAACTGTTGGACTTGGATGCAAGGCTGCTGCTTCTGTGATACTGAAATTTTGCATATTGAATTATGCAGCTCTCAAAGCCAAGTATAATTACTTGAACTACTCCTGTCTAGAGGAATTCTGCCAAGAAAGAGCAAATAAGGTTCCTTATCTATAGGACACCTCTTGGCCCATACAGCTCTATAAGCCTTTTTAGATTCTATGGATACTGTGACTCGCTTCATCTCAGTGGCCATAATCATGAGGTGAGCATCATGGCTGAACCTCTTGGGCTTCTCTAGGGAGGTAGGACTTACCTTTTGTGGGCCTCAAATTATTCATGATACATACAGTCAACTCTTTACATTCCCTTAAATACTCACAATGTATTCTTATGTACCTATGCCAAAGAGTCACCTGGGGAGGTATAATCTTCCCCGGTAATCCTGACCCCCTCAGTACACACCGCAGCAGCATTATGGTACTTAGCAGAAATGACAAACGCTATCCCAAATATAGACAGTCTAGTTCTCTAGGCGAGCAACAATTTTGAAGGTGTGGTTAAAGCCACAAGAAGCCTCTTCCCCCACTGTTCCAGTCTTACTATCTACCTTTGACATCAAGTTAACCCTGATTTGGTGACTGCAGAGACTTGTTAGCATTGCTTCCATACACGATAGGATTCTTCTGAGGAGTTGATGTTATAGGATCCTGTTAAGGCTTCAGTATGTTTGGTATGTTTTATAAACTGCCATCCTTGGAATCCCTATGCCCTTTTGTCAGAAGGGGATGAATCCAGTACAACAGTGGTTTTCAAAGTACGGATCATAACCCTGACCTTGGTCACAGAATGTTAGACACTGGTTTGCCTTGCTGTAGAGTGACCAGATGACTAGTGATAGAAATGTAGCCGTGTTAGTCTGGGGTAGCTGAAGCAAAATGTAGGACAATGTAGCACTTTAAAGACTAACAAGATGGTTTATTAGATGATGAGCTTTCGTGGGCCAGACCCACTTCCTCAGATCAAATAGTGGAAGAAAATAGTCATAAGGCAGACATCCTGCCTGCCTTGTCACTGTGTACTGCATTACCTGTTGAAGCAGCCAGCAGCAGGTCCCACTCCTGGTTGAGGGGCTCTACCCACAGGCATCACCCTGAGCACTGACTCCACAGTTTTATTGGTGAAAATGACTGCCCTGAGGCTTCAAATGTATTGGGATAAATTTTCGCAGAAAGAGGTTAAGGTATCATTACTCATTTAGTAGCCAAGATTTCAACCACCGGATAAAAGATTTTATTCAATATGTATGCCTCATACAACCTGTAAAAATGTCTTTGACCTAATTGTGATGCAATTTCTGTAAGCTTGTACTAACTTTTTTATTTTTTTAGCTTGTAGGGCTAGTTTGACCACCCTGTCAATTTTGTTACACTTATTTTTAGGTGATTAATAATAGGTAAGTTTGCCATAGCTCATCCAATCCTGTTGCAGCCGCTTGGATTGCTTGACAGCATTAATATAGAATATGAGCTTTGGGTGTTTAATAAAAATTAAATGTATGAAATTTAGAATAAGATTAAAAGGGCAGCTGCTAATTCAAAATACTAATATAAAATTGAAGAAAAAATCTGATTTAGTTCTTCACTGTTTTACTTTCAACTTGACAGTGAAAAGATCTGCTCTTATGACAGTCTAGTCTTTCGCTTTTATAAACTTAAAAACCAACAAATAGCCTGGTAGCACTTTAAAGACTAACAAAACATGTAGGTGGTATCATGAGCTTTCGTGGGCACAGCTTACAAGGAATGCTAGTTGGGAGCACAGAGCTATGATCCTTGGTTTGCAAGTGCTGAAGGGAAAATGCTATATTTTTTTTTTAAAAAAAAAGCTTTCATTGGAATTTAAAGTAGAAATTTTTCTATTTTTAGGTCTTATATATTTTTATATAACCCGATGGAGATAATTTGCCCTGGTAGAAACACTCTGGTTTGAACAAAAAACAAACGGTAAAACATGGTGCGTTTATAGATCCACTGAGGCATTACTGTTTTCCTTCAAAGTATGTGACTTCTATAAGGTGGAGAGTTTGTGCTTATGTAGGGGGGAGAGAGTCTTGAACAATAGGAAAAAGTAGGAATAATAGAAATTGCTGAAAATTTAATGGGCTCTTCTTTCAAAGCCTGCAGAACTCTTTATGGCAGTGGTTCTTAAAGTGTGGTCCATGGAAAACTAGTGGTCCTCCACTGTTTTACAAGTGGGCCATGGGCTTGGGCCACACCCTCCCCTGCAGCAGGGAGCTTGTGCTGGCACTCTAGCCCTGCAGCCTCCCCCCCTTTGAAGCTGGAACACTGGCTTGTCACTGCGGGGTTGTGGGGAGCCTCACAGGCTTGGATCCAGCTTGTGGGAAAAGAAAGTAACTGCATATTGCCACTCCCCCTCCTCCTGGTTGGGGGAACAGCCTTACAGGAAACCACTTGCCTGGAGGCATTCCTTGCTGCTTCCATTGGCTGGAATCACAGCCAATGGGAGCAGCAGGGGGTGGTGCTTGGGAGCAGCAGGAAGCGCAGAGCCAGGTAAGTGCCTCTCATCCTTCTCATGCCTAGAAACATTTTCACCTGCAGCAACTCCTTCCCACTGAGACTCCAGGATCCCCAGGCCACTCCTGCACCCAACCTCCTTCTTGGTCAGAGCTGCCTACTTCTGCATACTCCCTCCCAGCCAGACCTCCTGCACCCATTTTGTCATCATGGATCCCTACACACACCCTGAATCCTGCACCCATCCTCCCACCCAGACCCTCCACACTCACCCTCAGCCTGCTCCTGCACCCTACCTACCAGACAGACCCCCATCGCCTGCATCTATTTTTGTCATCATAGATGGTTGGCTGGTGGTCTGTGGAAAGGCTTGTGTTTGAGGGGTATGGGCTGCAGAAAACCTTTGAAAAACTCTCTAAAGCAATCTGATTTGGCTGGCCTTATTGTCATACCATAATTATATAAGGCATAATGAAGATCACTGGTAACTTAGGCCTGGTCTACAATTAAGGTTGAATTTAGCTGGAGTAGGTTGATTTTTCTGAAAAATGAGTCGTCGTTCCCAGGCCACTCTGCTGACTTCAAGAGATGGATGTGGAACTGAGGTTGAAGAGGATCCTAAAGGGAGCAGGAAAGAATCCATTGATCATCCTTCATGTAGGAACAAATGATACGGCTAGATTCTCGCTGGAATGAATCAAGGGAGACTATGCCAGGCTAGGGAAGGACGCTTAAGGAAATCGATGCTCCGGTGATGTTCAGTGGGATTCTGCCTGTTCCTAGAGAAGGGCAATTAAGGTGCGATAGGATTATGATGTTCAATACATGGCTCAGGCAGTGGTGCTATAAGGAGGGCTTTGGGATGTATGGCCTCTGGGAGGCATTCACGGACAGAGGACTGTTCTCTCGGGATGGACTTCACCCAAGTAGGGAAGGAAACACACTTCTAGGATGGAGGCTGGCACAACTGATTGAGAGCTTTAAACTAGGAATTTGGGGGAGACAGCTGGGAGGTGTCCAGTAATCTCTATGCCGGATTTTAGCATTGAGAGGGAGGAAAATGAAGTAAGAAAGGATAAAGCCGGGGGTAGGAGAATGGACATAAGGAGGAAGGGTAGAGTGGATACTACTCTGATCATATTGGAGGTACAATGTCCGTGCCAAATTAGGTAAAATTTTTTAATGAATCTCTAAACTCGGGGGTTATACCATTTGACTGGAGAATTGCTAATATAGTTCCTATTTTTAAGGGGACGGGAAGTGACCCGGGTAACTACAGGCCTGTTAGTTTGACATCTGTAGTATGCAAGGTCTTGGAAAAAATTTTGAAGGAGAAAGTAGTTAGGGACACTGAGGTTAACGGCAATTGGGACAAATTACAGCATGGTTTTACAAAAGGTAGATCATGCCAAACCAACCTGATCTCCTTCTTTGAGAAATTAACAGATTTGTTAAAGGAAATGCAGTGGTTCTAATCTACCTTGATTTCAGTAAGGCATTTGATACAGTACCTCATGGGGTGGTATTGGTTAAATTGGAAAAGATGGGGATCAATATGAAAATTGAGAGGTGGATAACGGTAAATTTGACCTTGTATGATCAGTTTTAGAGCAGAGCAGATGCAGTGCTTTGAAATTCAACATTCTTACGCTTCGGGTGATGTCCCACAGTGCCCTAGTGTGACCATTCTAACCAGCACTTGCAGCAGAGGAAAAGCCCAAGAAAATGTCAATTTTATTTCCTGCTTGGCTAGTGTGGTGAGCAGACCTCACAGCAGGCAGCAAACCTCAGCAGCACTCCTGACTGAGTTCCCAGGGTCACAAATGAGTTCTAACATGGAGCATGCAGAAGATTCTGGACCTCATTGTTGTGTGGGGAGAACAATCAGTTAAGGCAGAACTACTAAACAGTGAAATAAACACTTGTATCTATGCCAAGATCACACAGAGCATGGTGGGAAAAGGATACACCTGGGAATCCCAGCAGTGCTGTGTGATGATAAAGAGCTCAGGTAGGCACACCAGAAGACAAAGGAGGCAAACAGATGGCTTGGGTTATTGCTGGAAACATTCTGCCTCTATGAGCAGTGGTATGGGATTCTTGGTGGAACCTGACCAGTGTCCCAACCCTATTCTTGGATTCCTTCCAAGAGACTTTTCAGGGAACAGCCTCGGGCAACAAAGTAAAACATAGTGGATGAGAGAGAGGGAAGAGGAAAATTGTCAACAGGTGAGCAAAGCATCAAATCTTAGACAGCCAAGACCTTTTTATAACTTTGGAGCCAATCCCCTCTTCACAGAGCATACCACCATGAGGCCCTGCTGGTGGGGAGGGCACTTGTGGTGAGTTGACACATTTAATCATGCTACAAGTGGGCTTATGCAATTGGATGTGATCTGTGGCAGCCACTCTGCTTATATATCGGGGACTCCCCAGAATAATTTGTTAAAATGTCTGGAGATAGATGGAATGCATAGCCCTTTTTCGCTCTATTGCCTCACCACAGTTAGGGAATCCAATCGCAGCAAAGTCCTCTGCTATGTCCTGCACGTTTCCCAGAGTCGCTACCTTTCATAGGGTATTGATTTACTTGTCTACTTGGATCACAACATCCCCACTGTAGGTTTTCCCTCTCCAAATTGATTCCCAACTCACCGGAAGTGTTGCGAGCTTCCACAGGCCTGTTGCTACTTGCTTCTCAGCTGTCAGAACAGGACTCATTCTGACATTGCTGCGCTTCAGGGCTGGAGAGAGAAATTTGTGAATTTCCATAAAAGTGGCCTTAAGCATGTGAAAATGTTGTGGACACTGGTGATAGTCCCTTAGCTGCATAACCATGCAGTCCCATCAGTCTGTGCTTGTTTTATGACACTAGAACTAGTGTTACACTGTGTCGAGGCTTAAATACTGCTAGCATCTGCCAGTTGCTTAATTTAGATGCTCAGATCCTTCTTCACTCTGTTGGACCCTGGATAGGCTGTGGATATACTCGAGCATAAGGCACAAGATGATTGCTATAGCACTTTGCTGCTGAATGGGGTCCATGCTTGCCTTGCTATGGTGTCGGCATGGATAACCAGGAAAAAAAGGAAAGATGGTTTACTGTTGCTTTCAAATGGAAGAAGGGACGGGGGGGAGGGGCAGGAGGTGAGTGCATTATGGGATGTTGATGGCATGTACCCAGAACCACCTGCTGCACTGTTTTGGTCCCGTAAGGCACTGGGAGCCTAACCCAGAATGCAAAGGGGCAGCAGGAACTGTGGGATAGCTATCAGTGTGGTGCTGTCAGTCGGTAGCTATCCTTAGGGTTGCAAGGTGTCCGATATTTAACCGGACAGTCCAGTATTTTCGCCTCCTGTCCAGTAAAAAAAGTTCAGAAAATACCAGACACCTCAAAAGTCCGGTACTTTCTGATTTACGCCCCCCACCCTGGCCAGGAGATGAAAATCCTGGGCTGTCCGGCTTAATACGGAGGCAGCTTGGCAATCCTAGTGCTTGCTGGGTTCCGCAGGAGAGCTGTCTGGCCCGGCACACGGAGGCAAGATGGTGGGTGGCTGCCAGCAGCGTGTTAGGGCCAAAAAGCCTCACCACATGGTTTTTAAAGGGGCCACAGTGGTGGTGGGTTTTTTGTTTTTTGCTTAACTCTTGGGGTCCCCCCCTCAAACTTTCTCCAAACTTTTTTTTGTTCGGTGTTTTTTCTGAAACCAGCTGGCAACCCTAGCTATCCTACTGGGGACCCACTACGTCTAATTCTTGTGCACAGTGGTGACATGCACCTTTTTTTGGCTTGACAAAATTAGGTGCTAAAAATGGACCTTAACAAATTCAACCTTATCTCATAGTGTAGACAAGGCCTGAAAGTGTTTCTTTATCTGCTTTACTAGATTTTACAGAAAATTGTTTTGTAAGACTTTTTAAACTGCCACTTAATCATGTTTAAATCTAATTTTAAGGCTATTAAGTACTTGGAATACAAGAATATTAATTGCATAAAATCTTTTGGTCTTACTCTACAAATTAATGAGGTATTAAAACACACATATGAGAATCCAGTAGTACCCACACTCTGGTCTGTTTTGCTCAGGGCAAAAGAAATTTCTCTTGTGTTCCTTGAGTGCAAAAATTCCAAATTCTTCTTTGACATGCAGATGATGGGTAAAATGTTCTGAACTGCCTGTATGACTTAAGAGCCTATCTTGCGTTCAAAAGCAACTTAAGCAGTTAGGGAGCCTATGTATTGTAAGTCAATTAGGCTTTATCATTTAAATTTCAAGAGCACTTACCTTGATTTTAAAATAGATTTTAGACTTTATGCCAAAAATGGCTCAGTATTAATTCTTTATTTCCTATTGAAATTTAATGTTTATCATTTATTTCATCGTACTTTAAGAGAGTCCAACTTTCAGTGATAATGAAGAGTAAAATGCTAGTAATGATGTCCATCACAGTGATTCTATAAGATATTTTAGATCATCTTCATTGAAATAACTTTACTTTTTATTAAAGGAGACAAGGTATCAGTTACTTCAGCTGCGTCCAACACAACGGGCTTCATGGATTGGCTATGCTATTGCATATCATTTGTTAAAAGATTATGATATGGCTTTAAAACTACTGGAGGAGTTTAGAAAAACTCAACAGGTAAATACATCGTTTCATAATAATTCTACTCAGATAAGTTAGAATTTGAATTACTGCAAATATTGAACAGAAGAAATGGTTGTTTGTACAGTCTTGTTTTTTAATTTGGCATCTTGGGACCTATTTCAGCCATGAATTGCACTGGTAGCTATTCCTCTGTCAAACTTTTTGTTCCACAGATACTGATACTTCTATTGTGACGTTTAAAGTTGAGGAGTACTTATTGCATGTGGAATGACTGAGAGGAGTTACGGAAGAGCTGGGCAATAATTTTTGATTGGGGGGGGGCAAGGGTGCATACCAAAATTTTGGTAAGTGGTCAAGGGCTGCACTTTTCTATGGAGGGGCTGTTGGTGTGGTTGGAGGTTAGGTGCAGAAGGGAGCTGAGGATTGGTAACCGAGGTTACAGGAGAGGGTGTGGGGTCTGAGGGAGTTTGGGTGAAGGAGCAGGCTGTGATCGGGGGCAGGGGATTGGGATGCAGGATCTGGTAGGGGGTATGGGTGCAGGAGCAGGTTCTGGCCTGGGGGAGGAGTGTAGGAGGGGCTGGAAGGTCAGGGGGGATGAGTTGTGACCTTGAGCCAGGGGGAAGAGTGTACAGAGGGTTTGGCTCTGATCTGTGGCAGGGGATTGGGGAGGCGGCATGGATGCAGGAGGAGGTTTCTGGCTTGGAGAGGGTCTGGGAGGGAGTTGGGGAGGGGTACCAGATGCAGGCTCTGGCTGGGGGGGTGCTTACCTAAGTAGCTCCTGGCCAGCAGCACTCTCAGGTAGGATTCCCCCACAGCAGCCCCAGACTGTTGGCTGTGCATGTGGCTCTCTGTGCTGCCAGAAAGGGGGGGGGGAGAGGAAAAGGCTTCATGGACTGCCCTTGCCCCCAGCAAAAATCTCACCACTATTGATCAGAAAAGGCCAATGGGAGTTGGAAGATTTTGCTGGATGATGAGCAGTGTGCTGAAGCCTCTCCTTCTCGCCCTTCTCCTTGTAGCACAGAGAACAATGCAGAGCAGCTAGCTGTTTTGATCAACACTGATCTCTGCTGCAGGGGTGGGTAGGAGTTGGATCAAAAGCCTTGATGGGTCAGATCCAGCCCATGGGCTATATCTTGCTTTCCCCTGAATTAAGGTGTGTGAGACTAAGGAATAGGGAGACAAGGTGGGGGAGAGAACATCTTTTATTGGATGAACTTCTGTTGGTGAGAGACAAGTTCTGAAGAGATTCCCTTTAAGTAAGAGCTCTGTGCTGCTGCTGCTGCTGCAGGAGCAGAATGAAA